AGAGTGCTGTGGAATTGACTGCAACACCTTTCTCACAAACGTACCACACCTTCTATTTACGAGTCACTAAAGCCCCTTTCACAATTGGCGCCTCACTCGTGCGATAATTTTTTTTTCGAAAATATTTTTTCCGTCCTGTTGTAGAAGAATTGTCTTTGAGTCGCAAGCAATATATAAAATCGTACGAGAGGTGAACGACCACTGCACCAGGATACAACAGTCGTGAGACATAATCGTGCGATTATTTTCATGTTTCCGGGTGCAACAGTCGTACAACGGCTGCAACGGTTGAACGATGATGCGACTAAGTCGCACGACATATGCGTTTTGTAGCGCCATATGTCGCGCAACCGATCGTACAAGGCTACGACCCATTGTGCGACACACCGCACCATCTGTCGCGCGAGGTGTTGGCCTATAAATACGATGGCTCAGATCACTTCGGATCATTTAGTGAAATACATGCTAACATATGGTTGTCCTGGGTGATACCCAGTCCAATTATTGCGGTGACGGCCGCTGTAACATCGGACACAATTAAATCGCATGGATGCATACCATATGTCCAGTGTAATATAAGGATTATTATTAATAATAATATAGAATCGTAATTTTTGTTGTAACCATGCATGATTTGAAACACAACAATTATATTTATTTAGTATACAATGTCTTCTCAGACTTAGCAAATGCAAGAGCCTCCCAGGAGCTATTGGTCGAGCAGCAGCCATGTTTACAGTATGGATGGTCCAGACATTTGGGATGAAAGCTCAGGAGTTCTCGAGCTTATATTGGGGGTGAACAAAATCGTGCAACGTTGCAAAGGGGGCAAGACAGGTCTTCCAATAGTCTTAGGGTGGTACAACGGACTCGTATGACAGGACGCATCATCGTATGATATGAAAATACTCATGCAACACTCGTTCGGGGTCTTACGAGCGCGTGCAAAGTCGTACAACACTCCTACTGCCTGTCGTGCAAATATTTGTCATCGCGTCAGTCGCTCAAAATATCGAAGCAGCACGGTTTTATTTCCCGACCGAGATGCGACCATTTTGTCGCATCTGGATCGTACAATAAGTGGTACAACGGCTACAATGAGTCGTACAACGGGAAAAATTTCGAGTCGCAAGCCGTTGTAGTCTGTTTGGCACCAATTGTGAAAGGGGCTTTAGCTTTACTAGTGAAGCGCTTTCTGGGTGCACGGCGTGGGACGCATAGAAATGCTCACAGCGTAGAACGCGTAGAACCAACTTGAAGTAAGACCATATTAAAGTATAATCGGTTTATATTCAAGTATTTGTTATGTAATCTTGACTACCGATACTTGACACTGTATACCTAAAAGGGCCCTCATGTTTATTGCTTAGTCCGAATACTATGCTGAACTTATGTTATCGTGGATGACACAAAAATCATTTTGGGGTTCAGAAATAAACGCTAACCCTATTATTGACACGAACCTCAAATATTCCAAAAAAAAAATGTTTTTACCATACAAGCAAACAGTTACTAATTCTTATAAAAATTTCCGTAAACTTTCGTTAAATTAAAAAGGTCCGTTATCTGACTTATATGTCTAGCTTGCATATATAAAACAAAACAATGTTAATTGGATTACCATTGCAACACCCTAGAGTTAATTTAAAGGGAACAAATTAAACCATTTTCAATTACGGAACATTTTGATTGCGCAAGGAGGGGCATCTGAAATGTTTCCTACATCAACCATTCTTGTTTTTGACTGGTAAAACTAAATATTTCATACCAACTTGTGTCAAAATTAAATTATTATGCTACATGTTTCAATTCCAGCAGCAGATCCGCTCCAACTGTCACCTACTACTGCTATTGTTGTAAGTACATATGATCGTACATTTAACGTGGGTGAAGAAGTTGAACTTATATGTACAACAGATACACAATATGAACCTACATTTTCATGGAAGTTGGACAACGGACAAGATCACAAGGTTGAAAACCAAACAGTAACATTTACATTCATCGAATATGTTACGGTAACATGCATTGTCAGCAACACATATGGTATTGCTACTGGTGAATTATCAATCACGCAGTTAGACATAAGTAACATTACAACAGTATGCTCTTCCCTATATCATGAGTAGTTAACATAATATTCAAAAGTATTGTATTGCAAAGTTGACACCATCAAATGTTTCAACTTATCATGAAATCGACATAACATGTAACATCACATGTCCTTTTTGTACGATGTATTACTTTGATCACATGAGTCCATAATAGCTGGATGTTCATAATTTAAACGGTTTTTCACATTTTCACGAATGGAAAGGCATGTAATTAGAAAGGAAATAATTGAAAGTGGCAATTTGTCGCTCTATCTTCCATGTGACAATATACTCTACTGTTTAATGTCATTGACTTTTTCTTTAGAACTACATACAGTAGAATAATTATGTTTATGATATATTCACAGTGGAACCAATACTAATATATATACTTCCAGTCATTGGTATACTTGTCCTATCTGTTATTATACTAATACTCAGTATGTTATATTGTCAAAGTATAAGGAATTGGTGTATGAAAAAGAGATCCTTCTTATCGAATTGTAACAACCATTGTAGAGGCAAGTAAACATCAATTTGTAGTTTTTACTATATAAATATAAATGATTTTTACAATACTTCATTTTTATCATTTGCCAATTTTTGAAACTGATAGATTAACTATATTATATATAGAAATATTATTTTCTTTTACAGTAAATAGCGTCGAAGCATCAAAGGTGTTTTAAGGTAAGATGTTAGAGAGGTAATAATAAATATTATTATACATCTATCACGGTAACAACATAAGTTACAGCGTACCGTAATTTTACGGTATTTTACGCTGTATTTTCATCTTACGATATTAGGAAATTCGCACGTAAGCGTTCTCTAATAATGAAAAAAACATGATTCCCACCAGAGTTTGACTGGACTATACACAAAGAAGTTCGTTGATTCCGTTCGTTTGAATTTCTGCATTCACATGATGTAACCTTGAAAGGAAAAGATGTATAATAATAAGGTTATTACGAGGGTACCTCAAAGTATTCCCTCAGACAGTACACCATCGCATCGACCTCCGCTGCGCGTCGGTTGATACTCTCGCTGTATAACCTCAAAATATCGCATATTACATTTAATATGAATACAACGTATACTTTCTCTTATATAACACAAATTAAGAAGGCGTTCCATTCCTGACTATAATGACAATGCATTTCTAATAATGTATTTTTCTATCTAATCTATCTAGATAAGCGAGTATACTGTGTCAAAATTAAGATAAGCAATCATTCATAAGACAAATAATAAGAGCCTTTTATTTTTTTTTCAATTTCAGCAACTCAAATATGAATCGTCGATACTCCATCACTCAAGACAATGTTTTTGTATGTATAGTCGTTTTTACATTCGTATGAGACATAAATAGAAAAAGGTTAACATGTAGAAAATATTGATAGTGTTTCGAAAATAATATACAATATAACACTCATGGGGTGTATTATTTTAAGCAGATACTATTGCCTAAAATCAATTCCAAAATTATTCAATGAAGCAGACACATTCTTCGTTAGAAGCAAGTAAAGTTAGCATAATCCTTGGCAACTGCTAAATAGTTTAATAGACAATAGACGATGCCAAACTCTAAATTAACCTGTTATTTATTATCGTGAAAGAACAATTTTGAAAGAATTTACAGAAACTGCGTAAGTTCTGGCTTATTACCTTAACGTATTGAATAATATAATTGACAAATGTATGCCGCCATGTTGGATTCATACTGTTTTTCTCAGGCTGTGAATTATGAAATATAACAACTTTGAGATGTATAACAACCATAAATGCCAGAGGATAGGAAGGTTAGTTGTGAATTGAGATCTAGTATAACCAGTGAGTGTAGATTCCATGCTAACAATATGTCATATCATACATAAGTGTTGGGAAATTGCAATTGCAAGAATGAGGCGCATTGAAGATTACGCTCCCAC